GGGGGGGGGGAGAGGTGCGAGGTCCGTTAGCATGGAGGCCGGCGAGACGCGAGGAGACACGGGGAGTCGCGGGGACCGGAGAGCCGAGCATCATCAATGGAAATGGGAAAACACACCATGCACGGCAAGCCACTCGTTGAGATCGTCCCCGGGGGGGAGCTTGACCGAGTGCTGAATCTTGAAGCTGGCACCGAGGGAAGCCTTGGACTTCTTGTGGAGCTCATAGCGAATCGTGCCTACCGAGGTGGAGGTGGGGCAGGGCCAGGGTCAGTGTTAGGGAGATGGAGGAGGAGGAGGAGGAGGAGCCGCGGCAGACGGATTGCCGGGGGGCGCGAGGGAAATCCCCGGAGACAGGGACCCTGATGGGTGGATGCGCACCAGGCTCGAATTTCTTTTTCGGGCGGAAGGTTTTGTTCTTATCGAAAAGCTTCATCATGGTTGCGGTGTGGGGGGATGTCCTCGCTGAGAGAGAGAGAGAAGCGTTTCGGGCCGCCACAGGGATGTGCAAGCGGAAAGGGTGGGGAGGGGGGGGGGAAGGGAAGAAAAGCAGGAAGGCGGGAAGGCTGTCAAAGGAAAAGGACGGGGTCCGTGAGGAGAGGGCTTCGCCTCCCGGGTCCCTGGGATGGATGCTGAAAAGGCTCCTCCGGCCACCCAATCCCAGTCCCAGCCCCGGTCCCCGCCCCGGTCCCCGCCCCCAGCCCCTTCTTTCCCTTTCCGACTCGGACTGGTGGAATCTCCCTCCGCCTCGCCCTTCGGAGAAACGGAGGGGCCGACGATACAGGGGGGGGGGGGGCGTCCTCCAAAGCGGCTGCCTCCCCCTGTCCATCCAGGGGACGCATTTGCAGACGGGGGGGGGGGGGGATTCCAGCGCACCGGCGCTCGCGAGGGGTGCCAGGCGGCCGGGCGTGGCCAGGGGGGCTGGCGGAGCCTGGAGCATAAATAGAACCGACAAGGAGAGTTCGTGGCGGGGGGGCGCCACATCGAACCCCTCCACGGGTCATACTCCCCCGGGCGGTTGGGGCTCGTTTGCCTGGGAGCCAATCCCGCATGCCACACGCGAGGAGCTGTGCCTGGGAGCTGGAAAAGGCCCGGCGGCCGGCCCAGTCCCCTTCGCCCCCCC